GGTGGGAGGGGGGGGGGTGAAAAAGAGGTGAGGTGAGATGATGAAACATGCACATGCAAAAACAGGGGAGGAGGGGAACAACTGTGCACACCTGGATGTAAAACAAAACCACATTTGTATTCATTAACTGCTGCTCCTGTGATATTCTTATCACATATCAGCATTTATTAAGGACTGTTTCACTGCTGCAGTTTGTATTCAACGCACAACAGTTAAAAACTAGTCCAGACTACATCTATGTATCAACTGTGTGTGTGTTGTCTATGTTTGTGTGGTCTGATCCACAGGTATATTTGTTGCAGGGAGACAGACTCTGAACAACACAGACAGATAAACAGGGCTTTACAGTGTATTTTTGTGGGCGTGGAGGTGTTTTTACACCAGCAGCGTTTACTGATGTTCTTGTCAACTGAACACAACCAAGACTTAATATATACCTGCTCATCTTTTAATACTTTTTTATCCAGGTGTGCTCCAGCTGTCACCTTCCCCCACTGCAACACAGTCCCAACCATTCCTACCCATCCAGACTTCTCCAAACTGGCCGTTGCCCAGTTTCTTAATCAGCTGGAGGGATTCGCGGGGAATCTCCCACATATCCTTGGTCTTCACTGATAAGTCAGCCAGCTTAGGCATGCCCCGCTTACAGCTGCCAATCAAACGGCAGCACAGTCCCGCCGCTCTCTCTGAGAGAGAGAGGAGAGACAAACAGAAAGGCAAAGAAGAAGGAAACAAGAGCGAAAGAAAACAGAGGGGAAAAGCAGCAAATGCAGAGATAAAGAAGAACAAGACAGGTTCCTTATGCGCTTATGCAACTGACAAGTTAACCAAAAAGTACAAAGGCACAAAGAGATTTCAGACAGGAACACACAATCAGCAAAAGCAAAAAAAAAAGGGACAACGCAGTTAATAAGAAAAACAAATAAATACTGGCAAAAAATTTAATAATATATGTGGTTAATAATATATGTGTCATGATCGTGTCATGTAAAGTCACCAACTGCTTGTTTGTTATATCAACACAAGCCACTAGGGGGCAGATTTACACTGACAGAGGCCAGAGGAAGTGGAGGGTGTGAACCCTGCTTGTTACCACATCTCTGAATAGAGCTAAAAAGTCACTAAAAGTCAGTGGATGAGGAAGTATTCAAACATTTTTACATAAGTGAAAATAGTTACATCTAACTACTATACAATAACTACAATGTAAAAATATAAAAATAAATACTGCATTCAAAACCTAAATTATGCAAAAGTTCAAGCTGTACTCTGAGCGTCAAACGTAAAAGTACTCATTGGGCGGAAGGGCCCCGCTCCTTATATTACACTGGTAGATTATTTCTGATGCACTGACATGAAGGACTAATTTTAATGTTGTAGCTTGTCTAGGTGGAGCTCATTTTAAGTACTTAACTGTTTGGTAGTTCTATAACAATGCATCATACAGTATGTTGCTGATCATATACTTCTTATGTAAAATCTGAATTTGCAAAGTAACTGTTAACTGTCTAATAAATAGTGGAGTAAAAAGTGCACTTCTGACATGTAGTAGAGCAGAAAGTAGCATCATATGAAAATACTCAAGGAAAGTTGTTCAAAATTGTACTTATATCCAGTAAAAGTACTTTCCATCACTTTTAATAGTGTAATTAAAGCTTGAATCAAGTAGAGACAGAATTAGACCTAAATTCTCTCTTGCAGTTGGGCAGAGAACGATTGGGCAAAGAGTCAAAACACATTTTAGATGAAATCCATGGAAGCAGGAGCTTTTGAGCTTGAGGGCGAATAAGAAAATGGCAACACAACGTGTTTTCCGCTTTGAAGGAGAAGCAGGGGGAAAAAAGGAGGAATTTGTGTCCATGTGCGTGTGTTTATGTGTGTTACCTGTGTAGTGCTCGACCAGCTGCTGCACAGTGTCAAACTGAGATCTCGTGGTGATGTAGTAGCCACCGTTGTCTAATTTGCGGATCTTATAATGCTTGACATGTTCTCCCTTGTTGTCCGTCCCAGTCACACGGATAGACAGGAGAGTAAGCACTGCCAAAGAGGTCAGATTATGAAGAGTAAGCGAAAAGGAAGAAGTGAGGAGACAATAAAAAGGAAGAGAAAGGAAAGAAATTGAAAGGTTTCACGTATGCTGAGCCAGTAAACGCTCCAAATTGTGGTGTGTCTGTAGTGTGTGTGTCTGTGTTGTGTGGTGTGGTGTGGTGTGTGTGTGTGTGTAGCCTATTTACCCTTGGTGGTCTCGCTCTCTCGTATGAGGAAAGTTCCCCTCTGGTTGCCGTGGCCCAGCAGCTGTCTCTCCGCATCCTTCCTCCCCATCTTCCCAAAATACCACCTGTCACCATGACAACCACACACATCATGAGACCTCTGCCCTCAGACTACATGTCAATCATGGAGAAAACCTTTCAGCAGAAGCTATCAGTACTTATACTGCAGCTTTCAGCACCGTGTGTGTGCGTACTCACTCTTCAGCCTGTATGGAGTCGACAGGAGCTACGTAGTTGGAGGGGATGTAACCTGAGTTTCCTGTGTCCAACGAGCGGGCCTCCCACCAGTCACCCTCTCTGCAAAAAATACACACAAAACATCAGTTTATTTGTAGAAATGCAAAACATCAGCCGTGTTTTATAAAATCAGGGATAAGGTGTAAGTAGGTGTAATATGTGAATGATATTTTTAACAATGTAAAATTGAAATAAACAATTATTGCACTAAACTACTTTATTTTGGCTAAAGTGTGCCAAAACTGACCTTTCAAGTTTCAATAGTCTTACTTCTTTAAAAAAAAAAAAAGTCTGAAAACACATTAACTATGAAAATGGACCCAAGGTGTGTCTGGAAGGTGTCCAGATGAGAAAGAAGATAAAGAGGGAATGTGGTGAACATAGTTGGAGTAATAGTAACAATAACAAATACCTCAGCTGACCACAAAGCCAGGAACATTGTTCAAAAACAGGAGCTTCTCAACATCACCAGCAGCAGTTGACAGTGTTAATGGGTGGCATTTAATTGCAGCCTGTGGCTTTTAATGTATGCAAACTAAATTAATTACCTTTCAGGAGTCATAACTCATTTCATTAAACACATTTAACACTGATCACATATAGTTAACATTCAGCTGCCGATGCATATTGCCAAAGTTTTGTATACCAATATTTTATGCCAGAGTGTATTAATACAATCCTATCAGGGGTGCAAACAGATGTTATTACAATGCAGCTGTGTTAGTGTACATTTGTACTTACGTGTTGTTGATGATTTGGAATTTCTCTCCTTTCTGAAAAGTAAGGTCATCTTCGGTGCGGGCGTCATAGTCGTACAGAGCTATAAAAAGAGTGACTCCACCACCTGTATGTGTTTGCACGAACACACGTACAACAAAGGACAGATGAGTTGTCCGTTTCCGGTTATAGTTCATACCACTGAATTCTATTTTTATCGTCCTAAATAACATTTGGTCATGTCTGTCTTAAACCCAAATATACTGTAGATTCAAAGTTATTGGAGTAAGGATTCCTCCTGTCCATACTGGCTGTGAACAGACCCCTTCTTAGTGTGATTCCAGTGTAAGAGATTGTAAGAGATGGGAGACAAAATCCAAAGTCCTTTTTCTATTTAAAAACGCATTTGAGGCTTACTATACTTTTAATGCATCTCAATAAGAAAACACGGGAAACACAGAGTGAATTTTAGGCTAAAAAAGACTAACTTTGAAAGATACTCACTAGATTTGTCTAAACAGAAGTCTCATAATAACTTCAAGTGAATTCTGAAAATGCAGCAACTTTTGCACAAAGCAAGTACTGTGGCTTTTTCCCCCCTTCTTTTACACAGAATTTGCACTAAGACGAGATCACAATAACAGTAATCAATAATGTTTTCAATGTAGATATAGGCGTGAGTATTGTTTTAACGCAGACTTTTAAAAAAAACCTTATCCTGTTCTCTCAATGAGGAAATGCATGAAATCCATGTGTATAAAATATGGTGGAGAAACACACATCAAAGTATAGATTTCTCTGATTTTAAGACTTTCGTCATACAGCACAAAAGACATTACTGAGAAAACACATTTTAGGATGGACACAAATGCCACTGAAGAAGGTTCACTTTGCTCTATTATTCATTTATGGAAAACTGTACTTGTTAATTGGCATTCAGATTTTCATCTTCTAGAATCTAAATACATAAATATGATGTAATATATGTGTGTAAGACCATTTTACTTGGTCACACACACACACACAGTCCTACTTGTTATGCCAGAGCGCTGGTGTGTGTTGGTGTTGGGGAAGATGTTGCTCGATGAGAAGCCCTTGTTGAAGTCTGGGATGCTCTGAGTGGGGTCGGGACAATAACGGCCCTGACTCAGGGCCGTGGACAACCCTCCATCTGCGTTGCTAGGAGACAGATCTGTAATGTCTACTGATGCTGATGTTGCTGGTGCTGCTTTGCCGGACTTCTTCTGCTTGCAACAGACACACCCCATAATAACCAGCACGGAGACGGCGTCTGTGAAAACAGGCAGAGTGAACGAAACATGCCAGAACATTTTCAGTATGTAAATGTCAAACTTCCCTCCCGTTCTTGCTGCTTGATGTTAGATAATCGTAATTAAAACCGTATGCAGTTCATAAAAACCTTTTCAAGACCTGCTATGAGTAACAGAATCAATAATATTTTGGCGTCATGCGAAAAACTCGGTGGTCAAGAATTGAAGGGCAAGAGGAGGCCCCCGAGACATCCTAACTCTTAGTGGTACCTACGATCGAATAAACCCTTAGATTCCTGACTCCTACATTTCCCCAACAGTGCAACTTGATAACATCCTTTCCTGCTCGATAAACCCCCCCACAACTTTCAACCTCTGGCACCTTAGTTTTGAAGGCCACGCTTTCCTGGTACGTAAATATTAAGTCTAAACGCTCATCGCACAAATTATTTTCAAAACAGAGCCAAAGCCTGCTCCAGTCCTCTGAAAGACATTAGTCAAATTCAAACTGTTTCATAAGCAGTGTGACATAGTAAACCTCAATTGCCCTCATGTGGAAATCTGTGCGATTGTCCCCTTTAAGTAACAAAGTAGCAGTGAATGAACGCCATTACAGTATCACCGCTTAGGCAACAAAATCACGAAGGATGGCTAGTAGATCACACAGGGCATTCAACATTAAGAAATAAGTCCATTTTAGTATTAGTATAAGTAATCTATTTCCCCTTCAGTTCCTGCCTGCCCAAACTAAGACTTCAAACGACCAAGCTGAGCGTGATTGAAATGAAAGCAACATGCATCAACACCCGTACAAAGGCCCATACTCTGACGTAAGAGATCGAAACTGTCAAAAGAGAGAGACGTAAGCAAAACTTAAAAAAAAAACTTCACTTCGCCTCAAGCGAAGTGAAAGTAGGAGAAGGGGGAGGAAGATCAGGTTGGACGGACGGCGGGAGAGAAGGAGAATTAGAGCTTTTTCTCACCTGATGTCGTTCCTCTGGTCAAGATCATGCTGTTCAATCACCATCGCCACCTGGAAAAAAAAAAAAAAAAAAGGAAGGGAAGGAGGTGAGTGAGCAAGGGGTGGAATGAAGAGCAGGCGCAGGAAGAGGATGAGTGGGCCAGAGAAAGCCGGAGACGTATGAAGGGTGATAGAGAATGTGAGAGAAGAGGCTCAAGGGCGGCGGTAAGCGTGAATCAAAGAGACGGCGTGAAGGGAGACGCGAGGAGACAGAGAAGTTTCCGAAAAAAAACCAGAGACCAGCCTCGAGATAAGGAAAGACGAGAGAGATGTGAGGTTAGCCACCTTCCCTTTTTTGCTTTGCAAGTTTCGAGAGAGGGTACCTGTCGTTCATTCGTTCTCTGGTAATAGCTGTGTGCGTGTGTGTGTGTGTGTGTGTGCGCGTGTGTGTGTGTGTGTGTGTGTGGTGTGGTGTGTGTGTGTAGGATTCTGTGGGAACATATAAACCTGTAAATGTCATCATTAGACAGGGGTAAGCTGACACAAAAGTGACTGTCACTGGACTGGTGAAAATGTGTTTCTCCCAGTGTAACAGATATATGCAATTGCTGACGTCCAGTTTTTTTTTTTTGCAAAACCGCATTGTCTGAATATATACTTGTGTTGACAAAGCAGAGAACTGGTGGCCAACCATCAAGAGGAAATAACTACAGTGAGACTGTAAATACATTTGAATTGTGTGCAGACGACGCCTGCCAACGCAGGCCTTTAACACGACGCCTTCGATAAAGATGAGAGTGTTTTACTGTGCTTAACCCAGCCTTCTAAATAGATGGAGAGGACTGACACCACCCTAGCCTCATTGTCTGCGCAGGAATATGAAGGCCTATAGCCAAGCAAGGCAGTTAGCTTAGCTTAGCACAAACAACCTGGAAAGCAGGGGGAAACTGCTAGGGCTTGGCCTGCTGGCAATGGTGGACAAAAGGCAACCCCACCAGCACTCTAAGCTGTCTGATTACCTCATGTTATATCTTGTTCGTTAAACCCCCAAACAAAATCGACACTATTCCTTTTAAAATGATGCGTGTCTAATCGAATCAGAAAATACTTTAATAATCCCAGGGGGAAATTATTTTTGTTAACCAGAACTCCAAATATACAAACAAGCATGTATATAAGAACATATATAGATATAAGTCCTGGCCAATAAATCCCCCTCACATTTATGAAGGTTATACATGTTTGGTATAGATGAGAGGTTCAGACTCAAAACACAAGCTGAAACAGTTGATACGGGGGGTGGCGGGGGTTTTGGGGGCGGGGGGGGGGGGGACTGAATTTAATTCCTTCTTCTTCTTCGAGTCTTTTTTTTTCAACATTTCAAGGTTCTTGAATTTTATTTTTTTTCTTTGTCTCCTGTGAATGGTAACTGAACTGAGGTTGGCCAGGCAAAACATATAAATATATATTTGTCCATAGAAAATTTTGAAAAGGGCAATATTATTCTGACCCATATTAGACATTTCACCATGAGAAAAAGTAAAAAAGGTTGGTTTTAACCAATAATTAAAAATAATCCTCTATATTGCATCTCTAGATTAAACTTCATGGGTCATTTTGGAGGGATTTAGTCCAGTTGGTTTTCCCAACTATCCAGTCCACTGTGTTTACGTGATGAGTCACTGACAACCCTGAGTACAGTGACATAACAAACTGAAATAAACCGTACAAGGACAACAATTTCATTTATTTCCTGTGAGCAATTTAGAGAATGATATTTTAGTAAAACTTTTCATACAATTCCTCAAAGTCTTGTTTTTTCTTTTAAACAATCATACTAACTTAACATTAGGCTTCCTTTGTTTGTCTTTTTACAAATTTCAGTGTTTTCTTCTCCCTCACAACCTCGCCCTAGTGTTTTTCTATTAAACAAATTTCTTATTTTAACTGGCGTACTTTTTTCTAATGCGAGACAAAGCGTTTTTTAGATCTTTGTGATTTAAAAATAACCTGTTTTTCTTACATCCGCCTTAGAATCGAGAAAAAGGCCTCAATGACCCGGGTGAAAGCTTTGGCGACCCCTAGGTGTGGGGCCCCCGAGCCACAGGTTGGGAACTTAAACTGAGATTTTAGTCTACTGTCCCACTTGAAGGGAACAGGAAGCAGGGATGGACAAAATGTTGAGTTAATTCTCAGTGTAATGTAATTACAGTTCAACAGCACCGCGACCGGACTGGCAGCCTCCAAAAAGGACCATAAAGTTTTGAACAACACTAAAGGCTTCAACAAAAACTGATTGAACCTTTTATGGAGGTCCAGATTTATTGCGAGGCTGCGTTGTATTAGACTGCATTAGCTACTGTAGGTGTACCTAATAAACCAACAACTGAGTGTAGAGTGGCCCTAGGATTCAAACTGGCAACCTTTCAAGCCGACTAAACTCCAGGCCGCAGCCTCCCCACCTTCTGAGGAATGTGAGGGAAGTCACACACAGGAAGAACAATACAGGTTATGGCAGGGAGCGATAAAAACCCCCTTAAAGTAATTCACCTTCACTAGGAAAAAAAAACTCTCCCAGTGAACAGTGTCAGCTTTTGTCCCATCCACACCACGGATTCCCAGAAATTCCTCTCAGTGTTTAACAAAAGCTATTATGGGCTACATCCAGATGAGTCCTGGGCAAAATATGCAAAACTTGAACGTGCACACAAGCCCGCACGCGCACACACACTCATTCACTATCAGGTCAGCCATCAGGAGAGCTACAGGAAGTTAGCCCTGTTAGAGTTTCCTGTCCACCCCTCTGATGGCTCCCCCCTTTTCCTGGAAACTGAGGACATCCACACACACATACACCAAGCAGCTGCAGTGCCGCAAACTACCCCAACACACACACACACACCTCTCTGTCGCTGTTTTTCTCTGCTACGGGCCTACACCTCTCCAACAATAACCTTTCATATTCTCTCTATCAACCCTTCCCCTGGACCAAACTTCTTTCTCTTTCTGATAAACCTTAGAAGGAGAAGTGGCAGAGGGTGTAGAGGAGGCCTCCTCCCTGCAATCTTTATATCTCCTCTGCCCTTTCTCTCATCTCCTCTTTTTTTCTGCTTTTCTATGACTGGCAGATGACCACAGACAGCATCAGCACAATAACAGGCATATGTATCACACACACACACACACACACAAAGAGGACTCTTTGCAGGATGGCCATACAGTCATTGTTCTCTGTTGGGTTCCTGTTGACCAAATTTCCTCGCCCTCGTCTGTCTTCCTCCCCGCGCAGAGAAGCAATGATAATTCAAAAATACCATCTGATTATTTAGTTGGCCTGAGGTTTTGCCACATCAAGGAAACGCTGCCGTGAAAACAGAAACATATCTCCACCTCTTAACCTTCCATGGTTCAGAATTAAACAAAAGAACAACAACCTGTATGCGTGTGCCTAAAGATCATTTCTCTTTCAATCAGCCACAAACATTAAAGGTACTGGAGTAAAGTGTGTCAGTGTGTGGGCGGTATGGTGGTGATGGTAAACTGAAGGTGGCACATCTGAATTAGCACACTGCATACTTGATGCTGCTTTTTAGATGTGTGTGTGTGGTCTGCATAAGGCATGGTCACACCAGATTAATTTAAGAACAGTTCCTCTTTACCTTTTAGAACCAAGTTACAAAACTTAGATGCAGTGTGCGACCAACTATATAGCTGTAGTGATATTATTGCCTACATAAAAAACACTTTTTTTTTTTTCTTCAGTCATGTACACCTTGTTTTTCACCTTGTTTAAAATGTTTAGGCTTCTACTGCTGGTTGCAGAACTTTAGGGTGTTACAACAAAATGGCAAAGTCATTATTTCTCCATGATGCAACTGTCATTAAAACTTGCCTCTTGCCACAGCATACCCCCAAATCACATTACTTTTCGATCATACTCACTCCACAGATGCACCAGTGTTTCCTCCTCTGCTCTCTGTTTCAAAAGTAAACTTTGCCTGCTACTTCGCTGGCTTGTTGCTGAAAGTCACGGAGTATTTCTATAGTGGCTGGCGATCACACAGAAGAAATAATTAGAATAGTGTGTGAAACAGAAGCAGCTTCCTTTGGTGGGGAGAAGTGCGGTATTGGTCTGTGAGTCTGTCTGCATCAACACTTTTCCTTTTCACAGCTTATACTTCATAGTTATTAGATATGATGCATCAGTATTCATGTCCTTTTTTAAGTCTTTGCTGTTATGAAGACATGCAAATAGTTTATTTTCCCCAGGTTTTGAAATATCCGCCCCCACCCTCAATACAATACGGGGGAATTTTGTAATTCAGACTTCACTTGAAATACTTTCGATCAAAGAACTCCTCCCTAAAAAAACTATGCTCTGTAGATTTGTAGTAAAGGGGAAACAGTCTTTACCCAAAGTAAAACTCAGTATCCAACTACATAACTACACACAGGCACTGTTCTTTTTGTTTGTTTGTTTATTGTTTTTGTTTTTCTTTTCTACTCCTTACTTCTGAGGCGATTGTCTTGCATTGTATTGTTAACATTGAAAACTAAATAAAAATTGTTATAAAAACAAACCTCAGTATCCAAAACTGACCTTTTCACTGTTACACTGGACCGCTATAATTGACGCATTAGCATGTGAGCAGCAGTGCTATAATGTATAAGAATGCATCATATTTCATATATTGTTCATTGTTTTATTTGTAAAATCCTAATCTGAACTAATAAATATAATCTAGTGGTAATTCTAGTGTAACATGTAGTGGGGGAAAAAGTACAACATCTCTTAATACTGGAAAAAGTAACTCAAGTAGATTAGTTCTCAACTATTTAATGAATTGATTATCAATTCATTGTTTTGAGTCATTGAGAAATTCTCTTATTTAAGCATTTAAGTGAAATGTGAATATGTTCTGGGTTTCTTTAGTCCTCTATGACAGTCGGCTGGATATATTTGAGTTGCGGAGAAAACAGGTTCATCGGTAGCCGCGTCCTCGGATGAAAAGTTAACTTCCACTCTTGCAGAACAGTAAACTGCAGCGTATTTGTATACTCTAACAATATGAGGAAGCAAATAAATTCTGACCTACGAGGCATTAGTACGCATTCAGTGCACTCTTATAAAATCACAATAACATCACCCTCCATCGCCACAACATCCAAATCCAAATGACACACCCTTTCCTGCACAGTGGACTGCAGATAAGCTGCTCCCAGCAGGGAATTCACTGCGGGAACACGGGTCAACACACACACACACACACACACACAACACCACACGATGTTTTCAGTTCTGTTGACTTTCTGTACTTTTTAACACCAGCTCTCCTGCATCAGCTCAGACGGTCTCAGCCCTCCGCTCTTCTAGTTCTCTGTTTCTTTCCTTACACCTTTCTTTCTCCTTCTCTCTGACTCTCTTCCCTCATTGGCAGGAAGCCCACAGGATGCAGAGTGTGAGTGCAGCAGGAATGATAGGAACAATGGGAAGCAGGCCTGTCACCGAACCCTCACACACAACTCCACAAACATAGAGTAAGTACAACACACTCAAAAAAGGAGCGGGAGAGAGACTGGGGGGGTGGGTGGGGGCAATGGAAAAGTAAGGTGTCATTGGGACGTCCTGTTTCCACATGAAGTCATCATATCCTCCAGATACAGAGGGCCGAGGTGGCTTGTTGGAAGGCATACACGAACATTTACATGTCTGATCCTGTTTGTTGAGCACTGGGGGCTCAGGGCCTGTTTCCATGGGAGCATCTAGGAGACGAGTCTTCCAAAAACCGCAAAGCCCCTGATCGAAATGACAGCCGACACCCTCCATCCAGGGGAATGAGAGGGTGCTAACATCAGGCTGCAGGGCTCATCTCGGACAAGCACTTAACTGTCACAGCCCTCAGCTGCTTGGTGGAACGTCCATTTCTAACGCCCCCCAACCCCCCCTGCTAAAAAACACATCCACGCCCCCTTCCTTCCTGCCTAGCCCAGAGGCTAAAGACAGGAACTGACCTCGTAAAGAAACAGGAAGTGATGAAGTCCGGCCTTGGACGGCCTAATCACGTTTTTTTCCCAATCCGACTCTCAAAATTCCACGACACCTCCTTCACACGGAAACACAAGCCCCTTGAAATCAGTGGTGAAGCAAAGATGAATGTTGATTATTATTATTATTATTTAAAAGGGAGGTGGAGGTGTGATTATGCAACCTCCCTGTTATGATGAAGGAACAAACACCTTCACTACTGACCACGTTAAAGCCACAGAAACACCTCAGATACAGGGACATGTTGAGGAAACAGCCAGCCCAGGCTTTTCCTCAAGGTGTTTTCCTGTAGGCACGTTTCCAGATAAATCTGTTACATTTACTGTAGGAATATGCTGCTTCTGGAGCAAATCTAACAGTCAGACAGATATAAGGCCTTAAAAAGCCAAAATGACTCCTGAAAGTCAATCAAATCTGACAAATATGCAGTAAACTTACATACAAAAGCATCCAGTTGGTCCCTGATGATGCGGTCAGCATTCGCCACAAATCCAGATCCTTTGATAAGTTATTGTTTGACCCTTTGACCTTACTGATTTATCAATATATATTCTATTACTACAGCCTTATAACTGATGACCCAAGCCTGTAACTAATATGTGTTTGAAAGGAAGACATCCAGCTTTAAAGGCTCTGTGACTAAATTCTCTGGTAAATTCCACTCTTTCAATATTGCAATGTTGGCTGTTTGATTTCTAAATATCATCCTCTGTGGTGTCCGCACAGTGTGGAAGTACTGGTAGACCTACTTCATTAACTTCTCACAGGCAACTACCCAGAACTTCCTTTTATCTAACAGCAAGAACTCCAAAGTTACTCAACTTTCACAAACACTGAAAACACTCAACAGAGTTCTGACTTCTTATTAAGAAAAGGTACACAGGGCCCCCGAGGTGGTGGGCTGCTCATAATACTCTTCTGTATTTGTTTGGTACTTTCAGTGCGCTTTTACCTACCCCATTTACATTTACAGTCCAGGTCTCTTTCAGAGAGATGTGAACAGTGGGCAGCTTCCTCCACCAATACGGAACAAAAACAGTGAAAAAGTGGAAGGTCAGTTTAGTATGAAATGCGGGGAAAGTAACTCCTTATATGTCACCTGTCAACTTATAATACATATGGCAGCTCTTCAAGATCAACCAGCCGCTCTTTATAATACAATAAAGGTATGATAAACTGAGCACACATACCTGACACAAAATACGTCGTTACCCCGGGGGACCCTGGAGCCAGGCGCACGGGAACAGGGGTCAGTGTCAGCGGTGTCCGGTGACTCGCGGGGCGCACGGAGGAGAGAAAAGCCGCGCGCTAACTGCGCTGCTCAAGTGAGATGAAGTGGGCGCGCGCCTCAACCGGGAACGCTTGGGTAACTTCACGAGCGTAATAAGGTCCACCCCAGAGGATCACGCGCGTGCAGTGAACAGCTGAAAAGGGACCGTGTCATCGGGCTGTCTCAGCCTCTTTGTGGAGAACGCATGTGTGACAGCCGGAGAGATGTCACCTTATAGCAGCCCATAGTGCAATACGTGACACCCTGGTGTGAACTACAGGAAGACTGAGGGAGATGTGTGATATCCGCGTACATATTACAAGTGCACAGAAATCCCCCAAAAACGACGGTGCTCATAGATGACACGTCAGTTTTCTTTTTTCATATGGTTATTACTTTTAAAAATCTCTTCATCATAAATTAACTAGTCCTTATCAGGCCATGTGCTTTCAGTTGTACCACAAGAAAGAGGACAGATGTATTGTCCCGCAGTTATCTTCACCTTGAAGAGTGAGCTGACTTGGTAAAGAGAACTGTAGGGACTATTCACATTTTCTTCACAAGTCTTTGTCTCCATCTAGTGGCGTGTGGATGCAACTGCTGTGGTAAGACATACAGAGGTCAGGGTTTGTGCTCCGTTTCTTGGGTTAGTTATATATAAGACACTTAAAAGTCTCAAAATATATACAGTATCTTATAATAGTCTTCCAATCAAAATATCTTTTACAAAATAGATCCCAAAGTAACCTCTTTCCATAATATTTTCCAGTAAAACAGCAATGCCTTAAATAAATCTGAGAGACAGAATACATTCAAACAGGTTTCATTTTGATAACAAAGTAACTTTTTATTGTATATAAAAATACAAGTCATTTTGTCTTTTTGTATCTCAGTCCACTGTGTGAGACATGTGTGAGACATGAGTAGACATCGTGTGGTCAACAGCAGTTGTCTGTGGGTGACATATTGGCCCCAACAGATATGTCAAATAAACAGCAAATATTCTGGAAAGGAAACACTTGAATCATGATAATGATTTAGTTAGATATGTATGATAGTAGTGTTCAAATGTGTGTGTGTGTGTGTGTGTGTGTGGTGTGGTGTGTGATTGTGTGAGTGTTGAGGAGAGAGAGAGAGAGAGAAACGTGCAAGATATTCAGAACAACACTTGAGGCTCAAGTGGGGAAACAAAACCTGATCGATTTCAGTGCAAATAAAGTAACACATTTTAAATATCATATATCCCAGTCGCAAAGCAGCATCAAAACATTAACACTGAAACTTAAGATATGCATATACAAACATTCACTGTAGGGGGTGTGTGTGTGTAAGATCTGTGTTGTGATATGCATCGGGCTGTAGTACGTCACAGCTGGCTCAGCATCAGCAGAAATGTGCGAGTGAGTGTGTCATCTCATGTAATGTGTGATGGCTCGTAAAGTATAAAGAAGTGCTGCTTGTAGCCGGGCTTCCATCACTATCAGGTTTGCATGAACCTAAAAGAAAAAAGGGGAAAAAAAGTCATTACTTTCAGGTTACTAGGTGACATACTTTCAAGTCTTGTCTGTAATGCCTCCTTCTCTAATGACATTTAAAAAAGGAAGGAAAACGAGACGACAAGCAGAAATGTCAAAGGATTCATTCTTTGTCGAGAGGGACAACGAGTTAAAATGTCAAATGATTCATTCAATGTGGCTGAAGATGCCAGGGCCAGGTGGTGTTTGAACTCCTTTGTACCTTTTCGGAGTGTCTGAAGTGTCTCCAGAAGGCCTGGTAAATGCGTGCCGTGGTCTGCTCGGGGTGACAGGCCATGGTTTTAACAAACACCTTCAGAGAGCGCTCCAACAGGACATTCACGCTGCCGTAGTCGTAGTCATCGTACCTGCACAGATGCAATGATAGAATAAAAGTTAGTGACGCAGTTGAGACGAAGACCTATTTCATGACGTGATTTGGGTGTGTGAGACTGACCGTATCCCATACAGACAGTGGATGTAGTTCCACAGCGCTTTCCTCAGAGTGTGAGTGTCCACGCCTTCATGCATGGCCATCCTGTGGTACGTCAGGTTGCTCACAACCTGCAAAGACACCATTTAATCTCATCAGAATATGCTCAAGCAATCTGTTCTCTAATAAATTATCATTAAGAGAACAAGATGCCGAGGGTAATTTCATCATCTGGTTGCCATGACACTCACTTGCTCAAACTTTGTGTTTTTCCCCGCATTGTGCTAAGTTTCATCATTTTTATTTCCCAGGTTGGCCTGCTGATCTCTTTGTTGGGCTGTGTAGGTCGGAGACAACTATAAATCTTCTACGACCTTCACAACCTTTTTTTTTTTTTCCAGTGCCTTGTCAGACTGTTTGACTCAATTTTTAGAGACCTGAAGAGGTAAAACTATCCACTGCTCTACAATACTCATGTAGTTATTAACCATTTGTTTTCCTGATACCAGTAAAGTAGTTTTACTGCAAGTGTGTCAACAAGCATGTAGTCCCATATGATATCCTCCAGACCTTAGCTTCAGCTAGTTAATATTGTGTATCATTCAACTAAACTCCCTAGAGCAAACAGACCTGTCGTGTTATCTACTTATCAGTCTTTTACTGTTTTTATTTTTGTTTATTCGTGTACTTCTACTAGGTTAAAGGTGAGGGTACCTGGAATTTTTCATCCAGGAGCTGGCCCATATCTGGCAGTAGTCTGTTGACCAGAGAGAAGCCATGGTCCTCCCATGAATAGTCCTGCACGCATAAACACAAACACTTAGCACAAACAATCAACAGGTTCCGGACAAAGAGATAACTTGGGAATGTGTGTCGTAGTCAATCTGCAAAATATAAATTAACACAGAAATGATTCAAACTACCTGGGCTCTCATGGTTGGTGGTGCTTGCTCTCCTCTGGGCGCAAAGTCCTCATATCTGAACTCTGGATCCTCAACCAGGTGAAGCACCAGGTCAGGCGGTGCTCCCCGCACCAACGCTAAAAACAAACACAACAAAGAGGGGGCAGTGAGTAAACAAATGATGACAAATGAGTGATTCATGAGATAAACATGCATGTTTGTACCTGTTGGTATGCTCTCGCTCCTCTCCCTCTCAAAGCGAGTAACCATCTCCTCCTGTGTGCACTCCTCTTCCTGCTGCTGGAGCTCCACCATCCTCTTCATCAACACCTCCACCTCCATTGCTCCATCAACCAACTGGAGGAGATAAAAAGAGAAAAGGAGCTCACTTAGTACTTTGTTTTTAACACTAAATCAACAATCTGAAGTGTCTTCTGCTGTTACTAAACCAGTGTGACCAGTGGAACAAAGCTGGAATGAACCAATTTCACTTCGTCCTTGTCTTGTTGACACTGTTAAATAGACCTGTCAGACCTGTGGTGAAAAACGACTGTTGGGCTCACCTCTTGCCTTCCCTCCTCATGGGCGGGGCTATGAGGGCTCCGGGGAAGGTGACTGGGTGATGAAGGTTGGAAGGTATAACCTCCGACATGATCGGGTTCAGGGTTTAAGCCGCAGCCCCACACGAAAGAGCAGAGAGAGTGAGCATGTGCCATCAGGACCACAGCATGTATGAGTTCAGCCAATGACCAGCGAGGCTCTGCTCCGGGACACACCAGCTCCTGCAGGGCAAAGGGGACAGGCGAGATGGTTCGAGATGAATTGTAATGAGTACTTTGTTTTTTTTTTATCCAATATACCTGCAAACCTAATTACATTCCCATCAGCCTCAGCCGTTTTGTGTTTATTGGTAATTGGCAACTGTTTGCAAACACAGTTGACATGATGAACATTACGCCTGTTAAACAGCATTGTAATTGTGACCATGCTAGCATGCTGAAATTAGCATAAAGCTGCCTCAAAAAGCTGCTAGCGTGGTTGATTCTTACGGTTGTTAAGTCCCGACCATCGTATATAGAGGAGGATACAATTAAATGAACAGCTGACGATATAGTGCAATATCACAAAACACAAAGGAAAGCCTAAAACACATCACAGAGATTGTATTTATGAATGAAGTGTTGCATTACAGTAGTGTATTGCACATATATATCTTAGGAGGTAAACCACCGCATTAGTAGAGATATTATACTAATTATACTAATAAGACTACTTTTTACATTTTGACCTATTTTTTTTTTTTACATTTTTGCTTCCTCTTACAACAGTCAGGTTTTTTAATATAGTGTAACTAATACTAGCCCAAATCCCTCGCTATTAACTCTGTAAGTGCTGTGTACTGTCTGCCCTTTCATTTCAACGTCTTCATTATGAGTGGTAGACACTGTAGACACATTTCTGCTGAAAATGCAGAACCACAGTGCATTGCACTTCACTCTATATACACTATTCTGATGTGTCCGAAATATTCATTTACTGCTCACTAAAGATTAAACTACTGTGTGTCTATTACACAGGGAGTAGTGAGTGAGTCAATAACGGAGTCGTTTCAGATACAAGTCAGTAATCCAGTGTATTAAATGATATCATATTATATGATGACAGACTATGAGCAAAAGAGAGAGCGGGAGAGACGGTGTGTGAGTGGGTGTTGTGTCTGACCTGGATGTGCTGCTGTGTGATGAGCCAGGGTCTGTGTGCCAGCAGCTTGTTGAGCGTTTGCAGACTGCGGAGTTTGGTGGGAGCGTGCTCAAGGCCGCTCAACCAGCTCTCCTCCCCTCCAGCCTCTAGGAAGCCTGCGCTGTGCTGCTGGACCAGGTACGAGCAGTGGTGTCGAGCTGCAGCCTGTGAAACATCAGGAGGAGTTAAAATAAGGGAACAAACATGATATCACTTCTATTGAAAACAAAGCTCAGTGACTGTCTGGGTAGAACTGCATAATGCATAAGAACTGCCTGGGCTAATAAATATAAATGGTTCAGAGGTTAAAAAAACACCACTAGACTTCTCCAGCAGGAGATCATTTTGAGTCTAATGAAGGGCATTTCTGAAGTGAAAGGGAAACTAATGTGATGTATATGTGAGCGATGAGAGTCATTAAATGTTTATGAGAGGATCAGTCCTTGGCAGACCTGTAGTGGCGCGTGATACAGTAGCTGGATAACCCTCAAGAAAAGAATGACCTGCCAAGTCCATTTTGCATCTGTCCTCTCTCTTTATTCCAAGTTTTCTTTCTCCTGTATTTATGTGTTCCTACAAAATCAGCATAAGATATGTCCTGACTTTTCTTTCACTGTC